TACAGCAGCAAGGCATTTTTAATAGGAACGTCTCTTTTCGTTATTTGCTTATAATATACAAGAGTCACGGTCTCAAAAATTATGCACGAACATAGACAAAGCTTCATTAAGTTTAAGTAATCTTTTTGACACTAATAAAGTTATGGAACCCATTAGCAAATATTCGAAATCCGAGAGTGATAAAAAACACGTCCGCACGCAACGACGGCTGTACATTTTTCTGGTGTAAAATGAACCATATTTTTATAAAAAATTATCGAAAATAAATTAGAATAAAAAACTTTGCATATATTGCGAAAAATTCACTGTGCCAATACTTTTGTTCGTCACTGTATATAGTCATGAAGAAAAAAATATTCGCATTAATTGAATGTAAGTCCTATGAATTGATTTATGCAAAAAAGTCGCCATAATTTTTTTATTTATTTTTTGTTAGTTCATCGCACTTATGATCTGGGTGTGCGATATGTTTAATTTATATTATGATAATTTTATTGTTTAATATTAATGTAAGTGTAATAAGGCTAAAACTGTTTTTATTGTCTTATTTGTTCTTTGTAATAATTGGATGATATTAATATGTTTTTCGTATTTATAAATATACAGACTCCCTGAAGAAGGCGCGAATATGCGTCGAAACGCGTAGGAGAAAAGTAAACACTTGTTTCATTTAATATAACCGGCCAAAAAGCTCCGAATGCAATAGCATTAAACTTCCAACCTTGGGCCAAGAAGAAAAATTCTAAATTAATTTTTATTAATTTTGATGAGCTTCTTTGGCCTAGTTGGATATTATACTAAATTAATTTCATTTAAAGAAATTCATACATACAGTGCCGAACAGAAGTATTGGAACAGTGAATTTTTCGCAATAAATGCAAAATGTTTTATTCTAATTTATTTTCGACTTATAAAAATATTGCTCATTCTACACCAGAAAACATGATAATAAAATCTCTAAACCTTGTGCAAAACTCAGGAAAATTCATTAAATTTGCACATTAATTTGCAACTTTTTATTCAGATTTTTTAGAAAAATTCTAAGTATGCAGTTTTATAGCCCATTCAAATTTAGTATAACAAAGTTCAAGCTTGAAGTCGCTAGAAAATCGCGTTGATTTTTGGTATTTTCTTCACGCAAGTTCTCCCATACAAAGTATATTCGACAATTATTTTTTGTATGGAGAAAATGAGCAACACCTTCCACTAAAAAAATGCCAAAATCGTGTCGCTTAGGGGGTTCTTACCATTACAGTTGGCACCATTAAAGTGCTTTAAATAAATATTTTACTGCATATTTTTAGGCACAGCAATCATAATTCGCATGTTGAACACACCGGCGATAATACAGCTATAACTGCAAGAATATGTGAATAGAACAGCAAATTGCTTACACTACTGTTGAAATACCTCGCTTCTACTCCATTAATTTTTTATCTTTTAGTAAGAATTTTTAATTTAGCTAGGAAACGCAGAAACGTCTAATACATACATACACTATAGTGCAAAACGGAGTACATGGCGGTTTTTGTGAAATATTTGCAAGGTTTTTAAAGTTAAAATTTTTTTTGTTATTTATTTATTTTTTTCAATATGGTCAAGCTTTAACCAAATTCATATAAATCAAACTTTAAATTTTTATACAGAGTATAGAAAAATTCAACAAATTTTCATAAAATTTTGAACTTCTTAATCTGAATTTAAAAAAAATGAGAATGCAGTATTATAGCCCATACAAATTTATCTAATATGATAAAATGCAAGTTTCTACCGGCGTTGATTTTTAATATTTTTTTCTTCCAAATAAGCATGAATTTCTTATGGAAAAAATGCGTAGGACCGTTTACAAAGAAAATTTGAAACAATTGACGCCATATTTAAAAAACTGCACCTGTTGTATGAAAAAATCGCAAAAGTCGTCACAAAAAAAAAATATTAAAAATCAACGGGATTTTTTAGCCGCACTTTGTCATACTAAAATTGTATAAAAGCGCATACCCAATAAATTTCTGAAAATTCAAGATTAAAAAGTTCAACATTTTTCTAAGCTCTGTAGAAAAATGCAAAGTTTGAAAAAATTTAACTTTAAAAACTGCAAATATTTCCCAAAACTATAGTGTATATAGATATGTATTTTTATAAAAAAAATAACAAACAAAATGTAATTAAAAGTCTTGCTAACCACTTACTCAGTTTTGCACTATACTGTATGTGGCTTGTATATAAATATAAGTAAGTGTTTTACCTTGTTTATTCCTAATTGTTGAATGACGGTCACACATTTCTGGGCTTCAACTATGGCTGAATTTAATCGATCGATTAGTAGTGATGATGGGAATTTTTTAAGTTCAGCTTCTTTGCACAACTCCTGTAATTCAGTTAATGGTACGGAAGTAGGAGTGTTTGCGTCAACAATGTCGCGACATCTAGACAACCACCGTTCAAAGCTTTGCGCTTTGGCTTTAAGTTTTTGCAGCATCAATGGCATTTCGTCGAGTGTGTATCTGTAAAGAAGAGTGTGCTTTTCTGGCAAACAGTCGCAAAGAACTGTGTAATGGCGAAGACAAACTATTGACTTAGTACATTCACAGGAGACAGCTGATAAAAAGCAAGTAGTATTGCATTCATGGCAATGCCGTTCGTCGTCTGGCACTAGTTCGAATGCTTTTCGCTCGGCACGCGTTACTCCCCACTCAAGTAAAGATTTGCGGAGTTTCTTTTCCGAGTCTACCATTTCTGCCATATCAATATAACAAGCTGTTGCAATTCCAAATGTCAATTTGGCAGGTTCTAATGCCATCTTACATACAAGTTCATCGTGAGAGAAAACGCAAAAACGACGCAACATTGAATAATGATTAACACACTCGCGTCCCATCTTCAGCCAGTCAGCAGGCGCAAAATTGACAGCCTCAGCAAAGTTATATCCTTGATTGAAGCCAGCATGATATGCTCGGGGGAATGTTATAACAAATTCTCCGGCATTTTGATCTGTTCGATAAACAGGTACTCCGTTATTCATTAAAATGTTTGGATTCATTATGGTGACTAACTGATGCAGCAAATCCGGTTGCGAAGCAAACAGTTCAGGAGCTGCCTGTTTCATTGTCTCCTCAAATTGTTCAGCCCAAAAGCCAGGTACACCGTACCAAGTTTTTGGTTCTCCCCAGTGCAAATAGTTGATGGAATAACTCCAATGATCTTCGTTGTGCCAACAAAAAGCTGCGAAGCACATTCCTACATACATCCATGGTGCATTCATACCACTAATGTCTGCATTGATATGTCCCAAGATGGAGTCTTCTAGTAAAGGCAAATTATTCAAGTTCCAACTAGATTCAGCATACTCCTGGTCACCAGGCAATAAATATAAAGAGCTTTTCGTAGGAAAACCCGAACCATGATCCATTGTGTGTAAATCGGCTCCATATTCTACAGTTACATCTTCATCGATTGAGGAAACAATGCGCCAAAATTCGCGCTCAACTAAATGAGTTGGTACTAAATGAACGGGTGTGCGAAAATAATCCATTTTAAATTGGTCTGCCATTTGTCCAAATTGTTGTAATGTATACTCTCGTTCCGCTTGCTCGAAACCAAATGCTTCAGTAGGTTTGCTCACTTCCTCAACAACGCAACGAGGACAAAGCCATTCACCTGCAAATGGAAAATATTTTGAATTAAAAGTCATAACAAGCCGAAACAAACAAATACTTGTTTTCGTATAAGACTGATTAGTTTGGGTGCGTCTTGGTCGTCAAACAGGCACAAATGAGTTAAATTTTTTCGTTCGTTCTTACCGCTTTTTGTTTTTTTTTTTTAGTTTTTGTATCATGGATATATGTATGTTATATCTCGAATAGCGTACCTAAAATATTTTTTTAAATACAGAAAAAAAGGTTAGCTTCGGCAACTAAAGATATTTAGTTCCCGAACTTCGACAATGCTTGGGAACTGTCACCAAGGATTGGGAACTATTACCATAGTTTGATAATCATAACTAAATATATTAAACCTTCTGATATTCATCTAGGTTGAACCAAATCTTTAATTTAGCTGAATGGTTTTTTAAATATTAACAAAACAACAAATAAACAATATGGTAAATATTAACAAAATTCAACTTAACGTATGGTTCATAAAAGGGTGTTATTGAGGTCTGGTAATGCAGATACGCTTTCTCTCCACACAAGAGGGGTATTCTCGAAGTCTTGTAAATAGCACGGATTGTATGAAATGCAAAAATACTATTCCAAATTCGCAAGACTACGAGGGCCGCCCATAGCAAAATGGTAGCACGCATAGGTAGCAAGCAGCGAAATTCTGTGCCAAATATAATAACAAGATGCAGCAAAACAATGCGGTGAGCGAAATGAGAGGAATGAGAGAAATATGTAGCAATTTCAACAGCAAAACAACTAGCATAGGGTCGCATTTGTCTTGCTATGCTTTTTTGCAAAATATATACGTTGCATATTTTGCGGCGATAGGAAATGTTGTTTCCCATGTATTTTGTTGTTGTGTGTTTGAAAAATATGCAATCCGTACTACGTGCAACGGCTTTGCAAAATATCGAGAATACCCCTGTGGTGTAGTCATAGTTATCAAATACTAGTTGAGGAAACCGCGATTTGTTTAGAGGCCGGAATATATTCATGTTTGTGAGCCACCCCAAAGAATGCGCTAGAGCCAGTGTGCGGGCTGTAACATGTTTTTCGTGGTAGATAAGCCTTAAAAATTGTGGTGGATTCCAAAACAAAGGGGAAGATTTACATATACAATGCAATCGGATTATACTGGACTCCACGGGACCGCGTCAAATTGTACATTATAACCGATTGTCCATTTCATCAGAATAAAAAAATTTAAACTCGAAAAGTAAATTTAGTGTGTTTTATTTATTAAAGAAATAATGTATAATTAAACAGTCTGCCCATCGACATTTTTTAATTTTTTTGGAATTTCAAACCTCTAATTTCCTTCCTTTTTATCAGAAATATTTTCAACACATGAATAAAAGTTTCAAAGCTTGCACAAATTTCACCAAAAATTTAATCAAACTTCAAAAAACTTCATCGAAATTTCAAACTTTTTAATTCGAATTTTTAGAAAATTTTTGGGAACGCAGTTTTGTAGCCCATTCAATTTAGTCGTTTAATATAGTGCAAGTTTAAAATAGCAAGAAATTACCGTAGATTTTGTTAATGCGTTATATGGAAGACAAAAAAAATCTCAAAAACCGACGGTATTTTTTGGCTTTTTGAAGCTTGCATTTTATTAGACTAAAAATAGGGCTACAAAAATCCATACCCGAAAATTTTCTTATTTCGACTTTGTTTGATGTTTCTATCTACGTAATATTGCAGAACTTCCTGTTTCCTTCTCAGGCACTCTAGAACTATTGAAAAGGTACTCACAACACTTTTAATTTGTATTTTTTTTTTTAAATTTACCACTTTCGACTTTTTCGAAAAAAAAATGTTTTTTGCGGCGTAATTTTGCATAACTTTCTTTTTCCTTCTCAGGAACTCTAGAACTACTGAAAAGCTACTCAGAACACTTTAAGTTTTTTTTTTTTTCAAACATTAAAGTTTTCCTACTTTTTTGAACAAAAAACTTTTTTTATGCGTAAGTTTGCAGAACTTTCTTTCCTGAACTCTAGAACTTTTGAAAAGCTACTCGGAACAGTTTTAATTTTTTTTTTCAAAAATTTAACTTTTTCGGCTTTTTCGAAAGAAATATTTTTTCCGACGTAATCTTGCAGAACTTTCTTTTCCCTTCTCAGGAACTCTAGAACTTTTGAAAAGCTACTCAGAACAGCTTTAAATTTTATTTTTTTTCAAAAATTTAGCTTTTTCAACTTTTTGGAAAAAGGTTTTTCGGCGTAATTTTGCAGAACTTCCTTTTTCCTTCTCAGGAACTATATAACTTTCGAAAAGGTACTCAGAACACTAGTAATTTTTATTTTTTCCAAAAATTTAACTTTTTCGCTTTTTCGAAAGAAATGTTTTTTCCGGCGCAATCTTCCAGAACTTTCTTTTTCCTTCTCAGGAACTGTATAACTTTCGAAAAGCTACTTTTTCGACTTTTTCGAAAGAAATGTTTTTTTCGGCGTAATTTTGCAGAACTTTCTTTTTTCTTAACTTTTGAAACGCTACTCAGAACAGTTCTAAATTTTATTTTTTCAAAAATTTAACTTTTTTTGGCGTAATTTTGCAGAACTTTTTGTTTCCTTTTTAGGGACTATAACCCTAGAACTATTGAAAAGATGCTCAGCACAATTTCTTATTTGCCTTTTTGCCATATGTCGTATGCTACGTGAATCTGGCATACACAATTTTTGAAAAAAATAAAATAAAATTTTGTCAAAATATCCAGAACATTTCAACTTTTTCGAAAATAAATTTTTTTTTCGGCGTATTTATCCATAACTTTCTTTTTCCTTCTCAAGAACACTATAACTTTTGAAAAGCTACTCAGAACAGTTATAAATTTTATTTTTTCAAATATCTAACTTTTTCGACTTTTTCGAAACGAATTTTTTCGGCGTAATTTTGCAGAACTTTTTGTTTCCTTTTCAGGAACTCTAGAGCTATTGGAAGGCTACTCAGAACAACATTTTTTTGTCGTTTTGCGTTACACCGTATGCCAACTTCCCAGACATATGGGATATAAGTGGGCCAATTTTTTGCTATATAGCGATTGTATATATCAATTTTTAATAAATATTGATTAATTCCTTAGACTAGGGATGGGCGGCAGAACAGCTCGCGCGCAGCAGCGCGGGCAAGCAGGTGCTTGATGCGGGGTAAAAATTTAAAACCGAAAGGGTAAGTAATAGCCGTGTACGTGTATTAACCCATTTTATGCAATGTATATTGCCAACGGCTATTATATTCACCTCTTTGTTTATAGAGGAACAATTTCTAACTATATTTGTAGTCTATTTATTAAAACTAATTCAACATCATGAAATGCCGACCAATTTAATTTTTTTTATTAATAAATCAATAAAGTTATTATTGATTATGCATATGTAAAAAATAGTATGTGCTAATTCATACTGGCGAACAATAACGTGTTATCGATCTTGCTTAACGATCTTGCTACTAGGCTCAGTCGGTAGAAAACCGTCATATAAAAAGGTTGTTTTGCGCATGATTGTCCTTTTTTCCATGCAAATTTCTAACGGAAAATTATCTGCGCAAGAACAACCCCTCCCTTTGAAAATTTGCGACCAACTAAACGCTGGCAATGCAAAAGTGAATTACAAAACAGCTAATATGCGCGCAAGCAAGTCGGTAATCACCACCAGTGTTGCCATTTCTGTTTCTGCCGTCCCGCCAGATTAATAAACAAAAATCGCTAGAATCCTGCTAAATCATTTAAATTCTGTAAAATCTTATGACAAAAAAAGTTTATTTTATACTTTAGCAGTTAAACTTTATTTGATAAAATTAGAGATCATATGTTTATAAAAAACCATCAGTTTTTTAACAAAAACAAAATTGGAACTTCGTTATATGTATGGTTTTATAACCAGTGTTGGGATTTTGTGGCATTAAATAAAGTATAAAAATTGGTCATAAGAATGTCGAATTAAAATCTTCAAATCATCAAAAATATATAGATATGCATACATGCAGCTTTTTTCATGTTAGCTGAGCCGAAGATACCTAAAAATATTCGACAACTATATAATACTATTAGAATACCTTTCCCGCCATGTTCAGTGCTTATTTAGTATGTACATAGTACATACGTGTATAAACGCATTGTTTCAAATAAAATATATATCTTGATTGAATTAAAGTGAAAATTCAATTGGTACTATAAAAGTTTAAAATCGTAACTATTTATTTTGGTTTTTGATAAATACAACAATACTTATATCTTGGACCGATCACTAAGGCACTCCGCACATTACACGCCTAATCGAAGTAGAGTAATCGTTTCGTCATGCCGAAACGAATGCATGACGACTCGATTTCTGCACATTTGCTCGACCTGCACAAGTCACCAGCAAAAAAACACTTTCTACACATAACACATTTTCTGTCGCTTTCGCAACTACACACTTCCGCAAATATTTCTGCAGTGGAATAGTGCATAAACGCTTGTGGCTTAATACAAATTGCACGAATTTTAGAACGAAATCATTTATTTTCAATTATTTCCTGCTGAAATGACAAATAATTTTTATTTCCAACACAAAAAAAGTAAACAAATGCGGATTTCAAAACGGCAAGCGCCTTACAATGTTGGGCGCTTCGATTCATGAAGCTTCTATGATTAGACGAAAACATGATTATGAATCGTAATATACGGAGTTTCATTGAAATACATGTGTTCGACATAAAAGCTTCATACTTTAGTATGACGAAACGATTACACTACTATGATTAGGTGCTTAATGTGCGGAGTGCCTAATGTAGTATAGATGCATATTAAATTTTACTGAAACAAATTTTTTATGTTTTGATTTGTTCCAAGTTTTGGTGCTTTTAGGAAAGTTGGCAGCCATGGGGTCTCACATTCGTGAGCAGTGTTGCCATTTTAGCCGTTT